AATGGGCCAAAACTATACCGAAGGTGAAAGGCGTTTACACTGCCATTAAACCAATATGTCAAGCACTTGAAATTGATCGACAACGATGTGATCAAGCTATGATTCCAGTAAGCTTTAATGGCCTCGATCCTCTATTTATGTATACACAATTGTTAAAAGAAGCACTCTTGGAGATCGAAGATGATGATAAAAAATCCATCAAAGATTTGACCGATTATTGTCATGAACAGGACGATATTCCTGAAGACGAAATCAAACAAGTTGAACGTGAATATCGCAAACATACACCCATATGGTGGTATACAGCTGAAACATTTGTGTATCCAATGCTCAATCGTGGACTTCGACAAATGGATGTCGACATAATACTTAAAATGGGCTTTTTCATCCGGCATCTACATAATCATATTACAGAATTACACCGCGAACAACAAGCCAGCATGATGCAGACAAATTTTCAAGTCTTTCGTGGACAAGGTTTGTCCGTGGAAGACTTTGAAAAAATGAAAAAAACTAAAGGAGAACTTATGTCCTTCAATAATTTCCTGTCAACAAGCCACAACCGCAAGATTTCTCTCGAAAACTTTGCACGGCCAGCTACAAAGAATCCCACTTCAGTCGGCATCCTCTTTATTATGAACATTGGCACGACCGTTTGCACAAAATCATCAACACCATTTGCTGAAGTCAGCCAAGTTGGCTACTACAAAAATGAAGAGGAAGAAATACTCTTTTCAACACATACAATTTTTCGCATCGATCGCATTGAACGAATTCACGACGAGCATACGGATCGCCTATGGCAGGTCAATCTCAATCTCGCAGGTAATCAAGACGATGATTTTAATAAACTTACGGCACACCTGCGAGAAGAGATTAGTGGGGAAACCAGATGGGCTCGACTGGGTGACATATTTATTACAGTGGGAGAGTCGCAAAAAGCAGAACATCTCTATCAGATACTCCTCGAAAAGGCATCTACTGACAGACAGTGATCTCATTATAATCTTCAACTTGGTCTGGTGTATTATAACATGGGGGAGTACTCGAAAGCACTATCATCGTATGAACGATCACTTGACATCCGGAAAATAGCTCTCCCTCCAAATCATCCCGACTTGGCTTCTTCCTATAACAACATTGGTTCGGTGTATGATAACATGGGCGAGTACTCGAAAGCACTTTCATCGTATGAACGATCACTAGAAATCCGGAAAATACTCTCCCTCCGAATCATCCCAACTTGGCTAGTTCCTACAACAACATCGGTAATGTGTATAAAAACATGGGCGAGTACTCGAAAGCACTTTCATCGTATGAACGATCACTAGAAATCCGGAAAATAGCTCTCCCTCCAAATCATCCCAACTTGGCTTCTTCCTATAACAACATTGGTTCGGTGTATGATAACATGGGCGAGTACTCGAAAGCACTTTCATCGTATGAACGATCGCTTGAAATCCGGAAAATAGCTCTCCCTCCGAATCATCCCGACTTGGCTGCTTCCTACAACAACATCGGTAATGTGTATAGTAACACGGGCGAGTACTCGAAAGCACTCTCATATTACGAAAAAGCACTTGATATCGACCGAAAAGCTCTCCCTCCGAATCATCCTGATTTGGCCGTTGACTACAACAACATCGGTATGGTGTATAGAAACATGAGCGAGTACTCGAAAGCACTTTCATTTCTTGAAAAAACACGTGAAATCTTCGAAAAATCACTGCCTTCAACACATCCACATATTGCTCAGGTGAAAACAAACATTGAAAATGTAAAAACGAAAATATAATTTTTTTTAAAGAAGAAAATAAATGGCCCATCTTGAAAGCGTATGGTTCGCCGAGGCGCAGCAGCTACAAAATTTCGCGTACGCGCGACCAGGGATACCCTTCATATTTCATTGGCTCGTACAGTGGACAAAGCCAGCAATGGTTTGGCAAATATACAATGATGTATGTATGACTAGTACATCCATGATCATCGCCTTTGAAAAGACGATGATGAGATGAACGCTTCTAGTCATACACACATAGATGTATGTTACGAAGGCCTACCATCTGTACGTCTGCACGGGTCACCAACGAACGTCGGATATTCCTGAGAAGATTCATTTATTTTAGAGCCACCCTCGAAAGCTCCATTAGTTTAAAGTTTTGTTTTTATTCTTCTGTTACGAAGAACGAGAAGAAGAGGAAACGGAAAGACGCGATGAAAGACGACGTCGACGGAATTATAATACGCAGCGCACGATAACAATCGGTGTTTGATGAACACTGTAAAATTGAGTGCACGATATGTTTATCGTCTTTACACAATTCGCTTCTGTTTTTAATAGGGATGCAGCGGTGACGGTCGTCACCGGTGTGATCGGTCAACGGTTCACCGTTCACCGGTCGCAATGTACTACAAACTAAGTTATTCAGGTTGATATGGTACATATCAAAAGTGAAGTTGCTCATCCAATAATTGAAAAGTGCATCTTCAGTCGCTATCAATCTGGCTACAGTGATATACGATCGTATTTGTCAAACTTCATAATTAGTTTCCAAACGGTGATCATCAGCCACTGGCTAACCAATATGGGTCTTTTCATAAAACTAACATTCCTAACTGTCAAAGTATCCAAATATGAAAGCTGCTTATGCACGCAACTTAGGAATACGGCTTCAACTGATATCCTTATCGCTAAAAATGTCGGTTGGGATAGCGAAAACGTAGGATAATAGACGGCTTCTATCACTATTCAGACACGTTAAGACTAATTATAACCAGTAGCACCCATCTACTAGTCATCACTGTAGGTTTTCGTAGCCCTGCCGGTGCGCTATAACTGACTTCATCATCACACTCGTGTATGAAAAAAATTTTCATTTGCCCCAGTATTCTGGACTCAGTGATATAGTTTTAAGGATCCCGATGAAGACTTTTAATGCCGATTATGACAGCAGGAACCTATGAGGATGACAGCTTTCTACTATTCTGCAGATGCATTCAGCCTCAGGATAACCGGGAGTGTCTGTCTAGCGACCATCACCGTAACTTTTCAAAACCTTTTCAGTTCTATCTTTGGCTTCATGACTACACGCGTGTGGAAAAAGTTTTTCATTTTTCGCAGTATCAGCTACTCAGTTATGCAGTAGTAAGAATCGCCATGAAGAGTAATAGTGTTGCTTATGATATCAGGAACCTACGGTGATGACCGGTGGGTATCATTTTTCCAACTCGTTGATGTCGAGGGGCCCGTTGTTGCTCATGCAGAGGACGACACCGTAAGTTTTCCTTATAATATTCGTTGGTATGGAAGAATATACTTGAGAGCCTTTGCATGGAAAAGATCGAAGACCCGTCCTAAGCAAAGCTTTGCTTCATGTGAACATCTTAAGATTTATCCTAAGCGTATGACTTTGTTTTTCATGAAGCTAGTAAAAGTCACGTTCATTTAGAAAACTTTAGTTAGAGTCGTGTTAAAAAGTAAAATCTTTATGACTTCTTGAGTAGTTTTGAGAACAGAATGCTGCACCAAGAGAGCGATTAAACGTAGTAGCTTTTCTTTCTCACACAGGAGTTTTTCGGATGTATGCAAATCTGGTGAATATTCTATATTGCATGACGCTCGTGCTCAAGAAGTTCAAGCATTTCATTTGAATACCAAAACATGTCGCAATCCGATAGCATTCTGCAATAATACTTTCATGAATACAGCTTCAGCAGAATTTTGAAGAACTATGTTGTAGGAATAAGCATAGTCTAATGTTTTCTAATGAATCATTCAAGTAAATACGATATTATTACTGGTGATGCCTATGCAGTTGTAGTTGACGTGAAGTTCAAGTTGGATATAGAATGTGCAGTGAAATTGAAAACATTTTGCTAGAAAAAGCTTACAATTTGGGTAAAGATGGAGATACTAAATGAAATCGGACAATCATTCAGAAAATAAAGATCTTCTAAAGGTTGAATGGAAACATGCATTTTTTTCTTTAAAATTTGATCCTTCTCTGGACTTCAAAAAAATCTAGTCCAACATGTGACAGTTGTTACATGGATAATAAAATTGATTATAATTCTTTATTATTTAGTTAAACTTTTAACTTCTTTAGAGATGAGTGTCATTCATTGAGCTTCGGCATTACAATTACAAGACATGTAGGAGGCACAACACCACATTACGTCTAAAACAAGTAGTCGGTATCAAACTCTACTTCTTTGACGAAATATTTAAGAAAGAACTTTTCTCTAAAGCTTTCATCAATCAATTTGTCTTGATATATCTAATATAAGGATAAAAAGCGTCAGAAAGATGAAGTCGATAAAAAAAATCATACATCCAATTAAAATTTAGTTTTTATAAATCATTGAATGTTTGACAAGCTTTGAGTGCGAAAAAAATATATGATCAAAAATATATTTGATTGAAAATCAGCCAATCAACCTACTATTATTATTCATAGATATGATAACAACCTAAATAAATTACATTTATCTAGGAAACTATCGAATTCAATTAAATAATGTGAATAATAAACGTTCTTTTACACGCTGACGATACGTTTGTTATAGAATTAAAATAGCGCTGTTTCTCTATGAACTAAATGTGTCTGTAGCTTGTGTTTATTCTTTTTATCTTTGTTAATAAAAAAAACAATTTAAGCTCGTCAGTAAAGTAAATAATTATAGATTTCATCATTCAACTGATTTAGTTTAATATTTAAAGTTCAAAACGAAATAACAGCAACCTTTACAGTCTCATCTAAATTGAGCTTCTGATTGCAAATTCTAATTCTATTATTTTTCTCAAGTTAAATCTAACATTATAGAATTCGAATCGTATGAGGTTAGTATATAAATGATTAGGATCGACAATGATAAAGTGTTAACGTATTAAGGTCTTTTGAATGAAGATAATAATTTAACGGTTCATCATAATTAGTGTCATATATTTATTTTTTTTTCTTCACATTCTCAATTTGGACGATAACAATATTCTTTTCATTCTGTTTACATTGAAATGATGGACGGTCGAAATTGTTTCTTTTTTTTTTATTTATTCACATATTTATGCGTCAACAGGCATAACGTATTAATTTAACGGTTTTATAACTTTATTTTTGCTTTTGCTCCTGCTTTCTTTCTTGAAGAATCGTTTTCAATTAGGAAATAAAACAAGTAACATTTATAGTAAATATGAATAAGAAATGACTTGTGTTGTATTTATTGTAATCACGGAGTAAAAATACATCAGGATACTGATGAGTACACTAATGTGTTTCAAACTTAGAAACTTTTTGTAAATTATTAAGAGAAACTGCTTCCAATGAGTAAGTATCCAGTCAGTAAATAGGATACTCGAAAGAAACTGTTTTGATATTTGTTGTGCATTCAACGGCTTGATATGTTGAAACATGTGTCTCAGATTACGTTTTCGAAAAAGACGACTTTTTACATGGATAAGTTTCAATGTGGATGTGATTGAATGATGTACAGCTGAGAATGAGCAGATCGCATACGAATACTTTTCATTGAAAAAAAAACTGTGCAAAATGATTTTGTGAAGACTCTTGTTCTGTGGTGAATGTTTGATTGTACTCCTCATTCATACTCATACTAATACCTTTCGAATAATTGAAGTGATAGCTGAATGTTCGAAATAAGAGTTTTCAACCTTCAAAAAGGCAATGTTTGAATTGAAGTTTTAGTTTTGATATATATGCACTTATTTACGATGATTTCTATGTTTTACATGCTTCAAGTGTTCGAAAATATACATAATATTATCAGTGACTGTCTGAGAATGGAAGTATTTTGATGTGATATATCTGATATCTATTTACCGACTCTCCTGACATGTGTACGCTCAATTCTATTTTTTAAAGGAAAGTATCACCAGTTATAGTGAACTACTCATGCTTCTCTAATCTACTCTGAACATCATATATCAAGCAAGTATTCATGCGTTATCAACATGGCATCCGATATTTATTTATTAAAGAATCATGACAGCAGTTTGTTGTCATCGCTCTGTCAGAAAGAATCATTCAAAATTTTCATAGATTTTCAATATAGAAAGCACCTATGATTCGAACTTGTCTTTCTAAATCAATTATATGAACCATTGATTTGTTATTGTTCTATTTTCTAGCGTTCATATAACAAAAATTTAGATTCGTAATGTCTAGTTTTCGGTGTAGACTTTGTGATGTTGTCTACTACAACACCCTACTTCTTCTAGTTTGTCTGCTTTTTCACAATGCTCAATATTATATTGGATTAATCTGCACAAGAATCGTTGAATTTATCTTAAACTTTGCGAACTGATTATCAGTAGCCAATAACTGTCAATAGAAAAATTCATACGCAAAAGTTCGAAAGAATAAAATATTAAATGTTTTTTACATCTATACACAATTATTATTTTTATGTATTCCTTTTTTAGGTGATACTCATTTTCGCATAGGTGAACATTTGCGAAATGCGATGCTTCGACAAACATTTGAGCTCAAATGTAACGACATGTTTACAAGCACCAAGAATACGTTTCGATGATTATTTCAGCATGAAAAAAGCTTGAAAGAAAATATTTCTATACACGTAGAAGCTCATATCCATGAGAGTATCAAACATATCGAAGTAAGTCATACGTTGATTACTTAAAATTGTTTAGTTAATATTATGAGGGTTGTACAAAAAAAATCGATCGCATTCATTCAAGTCGTTCTGAAGGTCGACTGGTCTTTGACAGCATAATGACTTCACCTCTTTATTCACACACTGTAGCAGTAGTCAAATGGTGTCAAAACTGTAATGATTGGATAGATGATGTTTCGCAGAATTCATTAAGATGAAAGTCTTCATGAAATCGTATTGTTTTGCTGTACTATGACTAAAATGAAAGTTAGTATTAAATCATTGATTGTTAAGGACTCATAGAAGACTTAAGTTACCTATTTAAAT